ACATAACAAAGTCTGGGCATCATGAGGTTTTTGAAAGTCCAGTGGGGAGGGGTGAACAAAAAACCCATTTGGTATCAGGTCAGATGGTGGTACTTGCAACACAAATACAGTACAAAACACAAAGTGATCACAAGAAATATTACTTCACATAAAATCGTTGAGGGATGGTGTCAGGGGGTTCTCACTGGGGAAGCAGAGTACTCTCAGAGAACTCAGCTGGGCAAAGTGGAACAAGCTTCCTTGATGTTAAGAAAAGCCAGTACTGAGCTGTTGACAAATAATAAAAATATAGACCAGCTACAACTGCAGGCTCTTCAGACCATATGCTCCCTTTTATTACAGTTACAATTCTGCACTATAAACATTAAATGTAAACATGTAAAAATGCAAATAACTTAAGTATTATGTGAAAGTTTGATATATTATAAAAATTACATAATTCAATAATCATACAATACATATATCATAAAATAAATTTTATTATAAGGAAGATACAATAAATATTATTGCTATATATCGTAAATATACAATATTACTATAGTATGTAATGATACGCACATATAAAATTATACAAACCTATTTATAATCTAATATCTAATAATCTTTTATCAAATATAATTTAAATTATCACATGGTAAAACATAATACTTTTGAGATTCATCCACATTGTAGCTTGTGTCAATAAATCATTCCCTTTTATGGGTAAGTAGTATCCCACTGTATAAATGTCATACAATTTGTTGAATTATTCACCCACTGATGATATTTGGGTTGTTTCCAATCTTTTGGCAACTGAATACAGTTGGGGTTTTTTTTTTAAAGATTTTATTTACTTGACAGAGATAGAGCACAAGTAGGCAGAGCGGCAGGCAGAGGGAGAAGGAGAAGCAGGCTCTCCACTGAGCAGGGAGCCCAATGCGGGGCTCGATCCCAGGACCCTGGAATCATGACTTAAGGCAGCCGCTTAACTGACTGAGCCACCCAGGTGCCCCTGAATATAGTTTCTGTGGACATTTCAGTCCACATGTAATTTTTCATCTCTATATGTTAAATACCGAGGAGTGGGTTTTCTGGGTCATAGGGTTAGTATATGGTTAATTTTATAAGAACTTAACCAAATTTTGATTCAGAGTAGATAAACCACTTTCCCTTTCCAGCAGCAATGCATGAAAGTTTCTATTGCTTTGCATCCTTGACAACTTTTGGTACTATTTAAAAAATTCTTTCAAGCCATTCTAGTGTGTAGTGGTATCTCATCATGGTCTTAATTTGCATCTTCTTAATGATGTTGAGCATCTTCTCATACCTTATTTTCCATCTGTATCTCATACAACCATGTGGATGAATCTCAAATACATCATAAAATGAGATGTCAGGCTCAAAAGGAGATACAAACATATGTATATATCTATATATAGATACACATATATTTCTATGTCATGGTAGAAAAAAGAAAAACTATTATAGAGACAAGAAAGAGATCAAATTAGTGACTGCAAGAGGCTGGAAATAGGGAGAGAAACTGCCCAAAAAGGGATAGGAAGGAATTTGGGGGAGTGAAGGAAATGTTCTCTGTCTTGGTTATGATGTTGATTATATAAATGCATGCATTTGTCAAAATTAAGAATTGTACACTAAAAAGGGTGAATATTATCTTATATAAATGCCTAAATTTGACTTTAAAAATACCTCAGTACTACAGTATCATAATACATATAAAAGAGAAATAACTGAAAGTAACTTACAATAAAATAACATTTCCCTCTGTGAGGTTTGGGCACAGCCATGCAGATGTTGATCCGATGCTTGTGTCAATATATAACTAGTAATGTTATTAACAATAACAGGATACCCTCATTGGTCTCCACTAGCCTGCTCCTTTAATAAGCCCTGACTTACATTAAGTTACTTCATTCTCCATCATTACATTTTATAGATGAGGCAATTGAGGCCCAGAGGGAAAGTTTGCTGGGTTGGCCCAGAATCCCTCAGCGGATAAGTGCTGGCAGCAGGATTTGGATCCACATCCATAGCCCTCTCTATTCTGGCTGCATCACGGGAAGATCAGCTTGTGGTCTCCTGACGCCCTTAGATCCTCTCTAGCCCACTCTGGGCCATTAATTCCCCAGAGGGATATATGAAGCTAGGAGCTCATCCTCAACCCTTCTGTCCATGCAAACAGTGGGGATGTGGAGAAGTAATGCTGGAGTACTTGCAGTAGCCACACAGGGCCCTCATGAAGCAATGGGGAATCAGCATTATGTTAGTGAGGACCAATAGGGGAAAAGCAAATACTACCAGGATTTAATGGAGGGGTCATAGATACAGTGTTACTGGGTAATGGACATCAGTCGATTTTTTGCTGGTTTTCAATGGAGGTCCTACAGAGAGGGGGGATAGCGGAGGCTCCAAAATGCAGATGAAAATGTGTTTATGGTGATTTATCAGTCACTGCCCTTACTTGTGGCAATCATTACAGACATTGCTAGGTGGGGAAGAGGGAAATAGTCACCATTGTTGTGATGGACAAGTAATGGAGGGAGACCACAAACCATCCTACTAGAAGTACAGAGAAAGTTTCAGAAGATACTGTTAATAGTTGGATGGTGGGGGGTGGTATATCACAGGTCCCTATTCTGAGGACCTGTAGAGTAAGTGGCCATCTGTAACCACTTACATGAAAGTAGGAATAAATGGGGAGTATGGAGGTTACTAGACTTTGTCACACATGAAGTAACAGACATTATGCTGGAGGTAATTTTGGAGGCGGTAAAAAGAAAATCTCCAGACGCTATTTCCTGGAATTAAGGAGGGCTGATAAACACAGTAGTGGAGTAAAAGAGGTATTGATAATGGGTGTCCAGATGCTGTGCTGGGGTAGAATAAGAGGGTCTCCAGATTTTATCTTGAGGGCTCAGTAAACACTGTCCTACGTTGAGGCAGAATTGTGGGTTGCAAGACTTAGAGAAGCCCCAAATAACAGTATAGGATGAGGTAAAGTGAGTTAACAGTGGGTTGTCCACCATACATTGTTCAAAGACAGAGAAAGGAATATCGTGGATCATCAGATATTGTGAAAGGGTAAGGTGAAGGGAAGCTAAAGATGATCAAACACTGATCTAAGGTGAAGTAACGCGATGTGTCACTAAGCACTATGAAATGTAGGTAAGGAGGTTAAAGGGCTTTCCCCCTTGACCAGGTTCTGTCCCGATCCTCAGTCACTATGCTGTTCACAAAGGCAAGAGCATCTCTACACAACCCCACTACTTCCCACTCCCAGTTGTTACCAGTGCGCTGACCTGGAGGAACCATTCTGCTGGTTCAGTTTGGCTGCCCAGCAGCTAACTGTTCACTCAGACCCTCTGCCTGCATTTGAGAGGCCACTGCTGCCAGTCTTGGGTTGGACACCTAAGGTCCAAGGACGGTCTGCCCTTTCGCTTTCAGCCCCTTCATACTATTAGCTTTGGGCCTGTCAGAGCATGAGGAGTAGGTATGCAGTAAGGGTCTGGGGTGGGGTAAGGTTGTGCATTCTAGGGCAAAGTGAGGCTCTTCTGCAATGATTTTGGAGCTCACTGTGAGCTTTCTGAAACATGGTAAGAAATCTCGGAACACCAAGCATCTATGTGGGAATTCCACCGTATAGGTTTTCCCTTCTTTAAAGTGGCTGGCATCAGGCCAAAAGGTTTAAGGTGATGTTTCAGCTCTAGGGCCAGGAAGGAGGCACAGCCCAGGTAAAAGCTAGAAATGAAAAAGCCTGGTATTTTAGACAAGTTGGTTCTCCCCACTGGAGTATCCTATGCTGCAATAGAAAAATTAAAATAGAAAAGATCAAAGGGAAGCTGTGATGAAGTAACTCCACAATGTGCATTTATGTAATGCTTGTTGTCGTCAGGCACAGGTCAAGGCTCACAGTGGAGAACAAACATTCTAGTTCGGGAGCCACAGACGAGTAAAATATACAGGGTATTATGACAGTAAGTGCTATGGAGAAGGAAGGAGGATAGAGGGGAAGGGGCCAAAATTTTAAACCAGTCAGGAAAGCATAGGGCCCTCTGTGAAAAGGTACCATTGGAAGATATGAGGGAGCTAACCAAATGGATATGATGAATCTTGTTCTTCAGAGTGCAAAGGCCCTGAGGTAGGACCCGAACTGATGTGTTTGAGGCACATGGGGAGAAGGTGCTTGTGGAGCCCATGGCATGAAGATGGACACAGAGAAGACATGAACAAATGTTGAGGTTTTTAAAATATGAGTTACTGACTTGTTATTATAAATGTCAGCTCATTAAGGAAGGCAAATTAGCTGGAAGAACTATGATAGCAAAAGGAAGACTGGATGAAAAGTTGACCAGAATGACCCAAAAATTCTACCTCAGAAACTTTCTGAGGATAGTGGAAGTTCACAAAACACTATGCTGGGAGCTAACTGAGATAATGGCAGTCAGAAGACACAGTGTTTAGCGCTAATGCACTTATGGGTGTCAGAAGATGATGTGCTAAGGATTCATAAGGGTCAAAGACACTTCACTGGTAGATGCTAAAGGGTGTTATGAGTCATGATGCTAGAGGATAATGGTCAACATATACTCTGAGGTTTGTGTCCTTATACATAAAGAACTTTTTTACTGAGTTATCTCTTTCTTGATGGAAATACTCAATGGGGGTTGGATACACACAACCATGTTAGATTCAACAGAAGAATGAAAACACACCTGAAACTGTTAGTGTGTTCTGCAGCAAACATCTCACAGAACTTAGGGTTTGTCACTATTTGTATATATTATGTTGTTCTACCATTCAACTTGTTGGCACTTTACCTATTCCACAGTAAACAGGATTATCATTAAGACAACATAACATAAACTTTCCTCTGCAGAATTTGGTAACAATGTTCCATCATATATATATATTTAAGTAGGCTCCATGCCCAGTGCAGAGCCCAATGCAGGGCTCAAACTCACAACCATGAGATCAAGACCTGAGCTGAGAGCAAGAACCGGATGCTCAAACAACTGAACCACCCAGGTGCCCTGTTCCATCATATTTTTCAGGAGAAGCCTTCTTCTAATCTGCCAAATTGACAAAATTACTTTTCTTCCTGTATGAATGCCTCAAGGCTTAATGAAGATGTGACAATGTGTGAAGGACCCCCCTTCATTCAGGGCCCTCTTCGATACAGTAATGTGTGACGTTTTGATGGGGTATTTCTACTTATGATAATATGCGTATTTTTCTGAACAAATTCAATGATGTACAGTCAGACCTGATCTCACTGAGGTTTTCTCATACGTTCCTCTCAAGTGTGAATACTCTGATGGACACTGAGCACAGATTTCTGGACGAAGCCTTTTCCACAGACTACACACTTATAGGGTTTGTCTCCAGTGTGCGTTGTCTGGTGTTTATTCAAATTTGACCTATCTGTGAAAGCCTTTCCACACTCAGCACACACATAAGGCTTTTCCCCTGTATGAATTCGCTGATGCACTTGGAGTTGTGATTTCTTAGTGAAAGATTTGCCACAGTCATTGCATTCATAAGGTTTCTCTCCAGTGTGAATTCTGTGATGTATAATCAATTCTGACTTCTGTCTAAAGGTCTTCCCACATTCAGAACAGATGTAGGGCTTTTCTCCAGTATGAGTTTTCTGGTGTTTACTGAGATTTGACCTGCCACTAAAGGCTTTCCCACACACAGCACACACATACGGTTTTTCTCCTGTGTGAATTGGTTGATGCACCAGGAGCTGAGACTTGGAGGTGAAGGATTTCCCACAATCATTGCATTCATAAGGTTTCTCTCCAGTATGAATTCTCTGATGAGTAATGAAGTTTGATTTCCGGATGAAAGCTCTTCCACACTCACTACATACATAAGGTTTCTCTCCTGTATGAATTTTCTGATGCACAATGAGTATTGACTTCTGGTTGAAAGCTTTCCCACATTCATGGCATTCATACTGTCTTTCTCCAGTATGAATTTTCTGGTGTATGTTGAGGTGTGACTTTTGAGTGAAGGCTTTTCCACAGGTACCACATTCATAAGGCTTCTCTCCAGTATGAATTCTCTGATGTGTAATCAAGTCTGACCTTTGTGTGAAGGCCTTTCCACATTTAGGACATATATAGGATTTCTCTCCTGTATGAGTTTTCTGATGTGTAATAAGATTTGACCTGTTGGTGAATGCCTTCCCACATTTAGTGCATGTATAAGGTTTTTCTCCTGTGTGAATTCGTTTATGTACATGGAGTTGTGACTTGGAAGTAAAGGATTTCCCGCAGTGGCCACATTTATAAGGTTTCTCTCCTGTGTGAATTATTTGATGTGCAATCAAGTGAGCCTTCTGGATGAAGGCTAGTCCACATTTCATGCACACATAAGATTTTTCTCCTGTATGGATTCTCTGATGCACCGTGAGTGCTGACTTCTGAGTAAAGGCTTTTCCACATTCACTGCATTCATAAGGTTTTTCCCCAGTGTGAATTCTCTGGTGTATAATCAGTTCTGACCTGTATGTAAAGGCCTTACCACATTCATTACATATGGAAGATTTCTCTCTAATTTGAACTTTCTTGTGTGTGACGAGGTTGGAACTATTGTTGAACATCTTTCCATATTCAGTATATATAAAGGGTTTCATTTTTGTGTGAATTCGTTGATGTACCTGGAGTTGTGACTTAGAAATGAAGGACTTCCCACAGTTACTGCATTCATATGGTTTTTCTCCAGTATGAATTCTTCGGTGTGCAATCAAGTGTGTCTTCTGGATGAAGGCCTGTCCACATTCAATACATATATAGGATCGCTCACCTGTATGAATCTTCTGATGCATCTTGAGTGTGGACTTTTGCGTAAATGCTTTGCCACAATCCGTGCATTCATGGTGTCTCTCTCCAGTATGAATTTTTTGATGTATACTGAGATCGGAGTTATAAGAGAATCCTTTTCCACACTCACTGCATTCATAAAGTTTTTCTCCAGTGTGAATTCTCTGGTGCCTTAAGAGAGAAGATACTTGGAAAAAAGCTTTTCCACATTCACTGCACTTATAGGGCTTCTCTCTAGTATGGGTTCTCTGATGTGTAATGAATTCTGGCTTCTTTACAAAAGCCTTGCCACAGTCAATGCACACATAGAGTTTTTCTCCTGTATGAACTTTCAGATGTACCCTGAGCTGTGACTTCTGGGTGAAGATCTTTCCAAATTCAGCATATTCATAAGATTTTTCCCCAGTATGAATTTTCTGACGTTGAGAGGGTGCTTGTTTATAGCTGAGGATTTTCCCACATTGATTATGGTCCCATAACTTCTCTCCTGTTGGAGAACACTCAGGGTCAGTATAGGAAGAAATTTTAATATTTTCGGTAATCTTATTTATGTTCTTTGATGCACTGTTTCTGTAATGACTGTGTAAATCTAAATTATACTTCAAAGCATTTCCAAATGAGTCACACTGGTGGGGTCTTTTTGGTGAAAGAATGTTTTGGCTCACATGAATTATTTTTCTAATGTCCTTATATTCATAATCCTTCTTTGTAGTCAAAATTTTCTTGATGAAAGCAACATCTCTTAAAGATTTGTTTTCTCTTTGCTGATAGCTCTCTATCTGGTCACCAATCTGCCACAATTCTTCTAGAATGAAATATAACAAAATTTCACTTGTAGCATCACCTTCCTTCTCAATGTAGAAAGCAGCTTTTTCAAAAATTCTCTGCTGTAACATCTGAAACCTAAACTCTTCTCAAAGGAGAATGATATTTTAGCTCAAAGACCAGTTAGCAGAGGCTAGAGGGGAAGGGTCAAACGGCTCATCCATGTTGAACATAGAGAAAAGGGTGACTCATTTGTTGAAGAGGCTAGTGACAGTGATGAAAGGAAATATTCTAGGATATAATTCACTGGTCAGAGTAAATAAACATTATGAACATAACCCACCATGGACAAAAGTGGAAAAAGTAAGGCAAAGAACAAGATATATAGCACAGCAACATTTACATAAATTAATAACACCCCAAGTCACTTTAAATTTTAAAATAGGCATGCATTAAAAAATATGTTTCTATCACATAAAACAACTGCCTATGGTGAGAAGTGAGATGGGTGTGGGGAAAAAGACATGGTAATAAGTCAAAAAATAAAATACAGGAGTTCCTCCCCTTATCTGAAGGGGACATGTGACAAGACCCTCATGGATACCTGCTGAATCCTCGGACAGTACTGAACCTGATTTTTTCTTTTTTTTTTTCTTATTCAGTCAAGGACTTTCAACTTTTCACTTAAAGGAAGCACTTTATGGCTTCCCTTTGGCATATTGGAATTGCTACCTTCATTACTCTTGTGCTCTAGGGCCACTGTTAAGTAAAATGTTACTTTAATAGAAGCACTAAAATATAATGAGAGTCAATCTGATAACCAAGATGGCTACTAACTGACTAATGGTCAGGTAGCATTTATAGCATAGATATGCTGGACAAAGGGATGATTCAACTCCTAGGCTGGATGGAGTGGGATGGCAAGAGATTTCATCATGCTATTCAGAAAGGCACATGCTTTAAAAATTATGAATTGTTTATTTTTGGAGTTTTCCATTTAGTATTTTTAGACTATGGGTGACTGAAACCGCAGAAAGTGAAATTGCAGATAAGGGCCAACTACTACAATAGAGAATCTTTACCCAGACTGATGATGACAGTGTGCCCTGAATGAGGACCAAGATTAAACTCAATCATGTGAAGTACAGAAATAAAACAATTACAAAAATCAGCCAACGAGCCAGAGAGACAACCGACTTTGGAAGGAAATAACAGAAAAGTACTCCTAAAGGTTAAGAGACAAAGTCATCAGTTGGGTGAAAGGCATGGGGAATGAGGAAATAAGAAATCTTATGTCAGTGCCTATGGAGAAAAAAGGGAGAGAGGCTGGTTGGAGTTAATGTTCTGAAGCATCCCATAGTGGAAAGAAAAATGACAGAGGACTACCAGGAGTGGAAGTGTGTAATCTACTTTGAAAGAAAGCAGATCCATGAATGCCTGAATGCATAAAGAATCTTGGACAATGGGGAAGGCAGAAAGAAAAAGAATGTTTGAGAAAAGGAGCATAACCAAGAAAAAAAAAAGAAAACCCTGAATGAGGCAGATTGGCATGTGATCCAGATTCCAAAAAGCCAAAGAAAATGATGATTAGACATGATGAAGGCATTTAGTCATCTGAGAGGCCAATGTCAAGGGTCTTCAGGCAAGGCAACAAAAAGTTAAAGCCTCCCAAAAGAGTCATCTTAATAGCATTTCAAAGATGCCAGTCTTTCTCAAGAAAGCTGAGATTTGCTCCCCTTTCTCCCCTCTGTCTGGGTCACACTCGCTCACCTGGACAGCTCTCATGTGGATCACGCTGCAATGCCCATGGCTCCTGTCCTTGCTCCAACATGAAAACTTCTGGTTGGGGAACTTCATACCCTGTTCGTAAGAAATGATAAAGGACTGGATCCAGCTAATTGTATTTCAAGGCACAATCAATAAAGTCTTGTTCAATGAAGTTTTTTTCTTCAGGAATGGAACCATATATTTCTAGGAACAGAGTAATATTCAGAATGCCCAAAGGGATAAAGAATCCTGGATAAATCAAGGACAGAACCATCACACTTCAGATATCTCACAGCATTCAGCAACTGAGAATGGAAACACTGTGTGGAAGTGACTATGCTTACCCACAGAAAGCAGGTGACTGTAGGTCTCCAGCATCACATCCCGGTATAGGTTTCTCTGAGCAAGGTCTAGATGCTGCCATTCCTCTCTGCTGAAATCTACAGCCACATCCCTGAAGGACACCGATCCCTGTAAGGGCATATTCCTGTTCAATGTGAATAGTTAGCTTTGGGGGATGGAGAGACTATATTTAGGAATATGGAATATTGGTTTTGTTGTTAATTTACTTCCTCCTTTTATCCCCCTAATTTTAAAAGACTTTATTTGAGAGAGAGAGCCAGAGTGGGAGGGGCAGAGGGAAAGAGAGAGAATCTCAAGCAAACTCCACACTGAGTGCAGAGCCCAACGTGGGGCTCGATCTCAAGACCTCATTCATGACCTGAGCCAACACCAAGCATCAGACGCCCGAATGACTGCACCATCCAAGCAGGTTCCTCTTTTTAAAAACTCAACTCTCATTTCCCTTTTATTTTATTATGGAAAATTTTATTTTCCATTTTATTATGGAAAATTTTGAACATACAGAAAATTTAAAAGAATCTACACAGTGAAAACCTGTATACCCACCACTCGGGATCTATCATTAGCATTTTAGTCTTTTTGTTTTATCACACATCTATCCTTTTATCCATCCATCAATCCATCTTCTATGCAGTTCAGAGTTAACTATAAATGCCAGTACACTTTGTACTAAATACTTGAAAATGCAAATCATTAACCAGAGTATATTTGTCTACCTTTCTTAAGGTAAAATACACTCACAATGAAATGTACAAATCCACGATGTCCATCTGAAGTTTTGATAAATACATACATTACACCTGTGTAACACAGGAACTTTAAAAAGTGATATTTCATATAGGGTGCCTATTCAATATCTAGTTTTTCACAATATTTTGTGGAAGAAAGAAATCCAATTAAGGGGGCGCCTGGGTGGCTCAGTGGGTTAAAGCCTCTGCCTTCGGCTCAGGTCATGGTTCCAGGATCCTGGGATCGAGCCCCGCATCGGGCTCTCTGCTCGGCGGGGAGCCTGCTTCCTCCTCTCTCTCTCTGCCTGCCTCTCTGCCTACTTGTGATCTCTGTCAAATAAATAAATAAAATCTTAAAAAAAAAAATTTTAAAAAAATTAAAAAAAAAAAAAAGAAATCCAATTAAGAATTTCTGCCATTTGTTCTATACTACAGTCAGTTAATTTTAGTCTTTTAGCAAGTAGATGAATGACCTGTGATACAGCTTCTGAGCAATTTAGGACCAGCCATTATAGAAGTCCTAGGAACAAAGAAACCAATTATTTATGTTTCTAATCTCTTAGCAACTTAAAAGACCTAAGATTTAAAAGAAGGAAAAAAGAAGACACATGTTCACTAAAGTGTCAAAAAGTAAATCTGTTATGTAGAACACACTGAGGACCCAAAAAAGTTAAAGGTGTATTTGACACAGGGCAGTAAGTTTTTATTAGATAAATTTAAGTTGAAAGATGAGTATGGGGGCCTGGGTGGCTCAGCTGGTTAAAAGTCTGGCTTTGGTTTGGGTCGTGATCCTGGGGACCTGGAAGCAAGTCCTATACTGTGCTCCCTGCTTAGCAGGGAGTCTGCTTCTCCCTCTGCCCCCCCCAACTTGTGTGCACTCTCTCACTCTCTCGCAAAAATAAATAAATCTTTTTTAAAAAGTAAAGAAAAAAGAAAGATGGTAAGTGTAATACAAAATGGAGGGTAGGGAAGGTCATTTCCCGGAGAAGGCAAGTAAAGGTGAGGAGATAGGAAAATACATGATGAGTTTGAGGAACACTAAATAGCTCTATATAATGGAGAGAAGTCTGCATGCTATGTCAGGAAGGCGCTAGGGAAAAGACAGTTTGATCAGAGAACAAGTAAAGATTTTTTACTTTTAGTAAAGGTAATTAATTAGATTTTTATTAATTTTTTTCATATAAGATCTCTATTGCAGGATAACCAAAAAAATGAGGAAAAGTTTCTTATAGAATGAGTCTAGCTAATAAATGAGGAAGTTAGAATTAGAATATCATAATTTTGTAATTCCTGTGAAATAATGAATTTATTCAGTAATCATTAATGAGTGCTTAACTGTTTCAGGTGAAAGGCTGAAGTTTACAAAAGATGGACCAGCTAATAAATCCACATCCAATGATCAGTTTTAACATTACGAAAAGAGAGATAACCAAAAATTATGTCTTCCTGACATGATATAATTAATTTCATTATACGATCCATTAAGTATTCTTATCGAAAAAAATCCAACCTGAATCTTTTAAGCCTCCAGATTTAAAAAAATCATTCATAGATAAAAGTGAAAGAAAGAGGAACATATTGAACAATATTAAGACTGAATCGTCAGCTAAATCCAGAAGGCAGCAAATGGCCCATTTCTTCAAAAAATAAGTTATAATGGAAAAAATAGTAGAAGGGAATCTTTTCTTTATTAAGAGAGACTTAAGGGGGTGCCTGGCTGGCTCAGCTGGTAAAGCAGGTGACACTGGGTGTAGAGATTACTTAAAAATAATATCTTTAAAAAAAGAGAGAGACTTAAGAGTCATACTAACCAAATGCAACTTGTAGACTTTGGCCCTTCACTAAAACAAACCAACATTAAAAAGACATTTATCACATGTTTAAAAAAACTCAAACAATAACCAGGTATTAGATGATATCTAGGAATTAATGTTATTTTTGGTGTGATAAGGACTTACTGGTTATGTTAAGCAAAAAGAAAGAAAAAAGAATTCTCATCTCTTAGAGATTCATGTCCAAGTATTTACAGATAAGATAGGTGTTTGGGATTTGCTTTAAAATAACCCAGCAGCTAAGGGGGCAGCAGGGTAGTTTTAGATGGAGTTAGAATGCCAGAATATTAACAACTACTAAAGCTAGGTGGTAAGCACAACAGATACAAGGGCTCCTTAAACTACTCTCTCTACTTCTGTATACATTTACTTTTTTCTGTAATAAAATATCTTTTAAAAACCTGATTCTCCTATTAAAATTTTTTTAAATCTGTAAATGCATAATTGAAGGAATGGGTATTTCTACCTGGTATAAACTTTTTTTTTTTTTTTAAAGGATTATAGGAGGGGCACCTGGGTGGACTGAGTGTCAGATTCTTGGTTTCAGCTCACATCTTCTGGGTGATGAGATAGGGCCCCATGTTGGCTCCATGCTCAGTGGGGAGTCTGCTTGGGGGTTCTGCCCCTCTGCATCTCCCCCCACTCACCCGCAGTCTCTCTGGCTCTAAAATAAATAAATCTTTAAAAAAAAAGGATTATAGGGACTTGAATTCCCATACTCAGCAATTTATAGAAACAATAGGAAATTAGAAGAACAAACAATAGGATCTATTAGATATTTATAGAGTACTCCAACTAACAACAGTGAAGTACACATTCTTTTCAAGCACCCACAGAACAATGACTAAGATAGATGATAATATAGCCTGTGAAACAAACTGCAACAAATTGAAAGAACTGAAGTAATACATAGCATTTCTCACCATAATGAAATCAAACTAAAAATCAGTAACAAAGACAAGAGAAAAATCTGCAAAGGAATTATATTACAAAATAATAACAAAAACTTTCTGGAAAGCCACAAAATATCTGGAAATTAAACAACACATTTCTAAGTAATCTGTATGTCAAAGAGGAATTTTCAGAGAAATTTTAAAAATAGAACTGAAAGAAAGTGCAAATACAATGTGTCAAAATCTGTGGGATGCAGATAAAGCAATACTGAAAGAGAAATTATACTAAATGCTTACATTAGAAAAGGGGAAACAATCCAATTAAAAAATGGGCAGAGGATCTGAACAGACATTTTTCCAAAAACATATGGAAGACCAACAGGTACATGAAAAGGTGCTCAATATCACTAATCATTAGGGAAATGCATATCAAAACCATAATGAGATACCTTACACTTGTCAGAATGACTATTATCAAAACAAAACAAGACAAAATTACTGATGAAGATGTAGAGAAAAGGGAAGCCTTGTGCACTGTAGGTAAAAGCGTAAATGGTGGGGGTGGGAAGCAGCGCCTGGGTGACTGGGTTGGTTAAGCAGCCAACTCTTGACCTCAGCTCAGGTCTTCATTGCATGGTCATTGAGTTCAAGCCCCATATTGGGCTCCATGCTAGGCATGGAGCCTACTTTAAAAAAAAAAAAGTAAATTGGTACAACAGGTATAGAAAACAGTGTAGAGGCTTCTCAAAAAACTAAAACTAGAATTACCATAATGATCTAGCAATTCCATGTCTGGGTATTTATCCAAAGGAAATGAAAACAAACTCAAAAAGATACATGCAGGGATGCCTGGATGGTAGTCAGTTAAGCATCTGACTCTTGGTTTTGGCTCACGTCGTGATCTCATGGGTTATGAGATCAAGCCCTGTATCAGGCTCTGCGCTCAGCATGGAATCTGCTTGGAATACTCTCTCTCCCTCTGTCCCTCCCTCCACTCATGCATGCACACATACACACAGTCTCTCAAATAAGTCTTTTTTTTTTTTTTTTTAAGATTTTATTTATTTAACAGAGAAGGAACACAAGCAAGGGCAGGTAGCAGGCAGAGGGAGAAGCAGGCTCCTTGCTGAGCAAGGAGCTTGATGTGGAACTCAATGCCAAGACTTTAGGATCATGACCTGAGCCAAAGGCAGACACTTAACCAACTGAGCCATCCAGGCATCCCTTAAATAAAAAAATCTTTAAAAAAAAATATATGCACTCCCCCTCATGTTTACTGCAGCACTATTTATAGCAGCCAAGACATGGAAGCAACCTGTGTCCATCAATGGATGAACAGATAAAATGTGATACACACACACACACACACACACACACACACACACACACGGAGTATTATTCAGCCATAAAAAGGAAAGTAGTCTTGCCATTTTTGACAGCATGGATGGACCTTGAGGATATTACGCCAAGAGAAGTAAGTCAGACAGAGATGTACAATTACCATATGATCTCATTTATATATGAATCTCAAAATGAAACAGAACAAAATAAAAAAACAAAAGTCACAGACAGAGAACAGATTAATGGTTACCAGAGGTGGGGGATGGGTAGTTGGCCAAATAGGTGAAGGCAGTCAAAAGGTAAACTTGCAGTTG